AAAAAAAAAAAAGAATCCTTTTGTTGGCAGTCTCCCACTGATGACATGCAACAATCTTTGCATATGAAATCGGCTACTCCCCTGCTTCACTGCTAACTTTGTAGAAGTTCCAAAGCATTTCTGGAGCAAGTGATCCATTTGGACCAACAATGCCAAGCTGGGACCTGAGCCCTGAATGAGCTAAAATTACCAAAGCAAGAAGAACGTGGCTTTGGAAGCGATTTCCCCCAAGTGTGGGGTTTCTTCTAGTCAAGGGAGTGATAAAGAATGTTGACTTTTTCCAGGTGAACAAAGTTGAAGGAAACCTCCAAAACTCACTGCAGGTTTCTGTTCTGAAAAACAAGTTGCTGCTACAGGGGCTCCTGTCCTCCCTACTTCTTCTCCCCAAGCATAACAAATGCACCTGTCTTCCCCAAGTTGGTGAGTTCCACTTGGGCTGACTGGAGTGGACTACGTGCTGGGCACTATGGATGCAGAGAGAAGGAAGGCAGGCCCCTGTCCTGGAGGAGTTCACTGTCTGGTAGGAAGACAGACCTATTCACGACTAACCAAAACAAGACACAGAATGCTAAAGATAAGTGAGGAACAGCAAAGTAAAAGGAGAGCTCCGAGGAAGGAGAGTTTCCCTTGCGGACTGAGGGTGGAACAGGGAGCTGCCAACGCATCTGTCCACTCCTCTGTGGCATTCGTCCTCAGCTCACGGGACTGCAGGCATGTCACGTGTCTGCCTTCTCCACTGAAGGGGAGCTCCATGGGCAGAGGCCCCATCTCACACAATGATTAATCCATCCTCGTTGGCTCAAAGGAGTGCCTGAGGGAGTGTTCTCAAGACGGCATGAAGTACCGCAGGCCTGGGGGAAGCTGGAGAAATGGGGTTGGTCTGGGGCTGCTATGAACGCCCCGGCTGAGAAGCTTAAGTTTTATTCAGTAGGCAACAGGGAGCTACAGAAGGTTCTAAGGAGAGAAGTGACTTGACTAAGACTGTATTTTGGAAGATTTTTCTGACAGCAACTTGGAAAACAGATTGAGGCAGGGTAATCAATTAGAAGGCAGATGTGCTGGCTTAGATAAGAGCTGGTGCACGCCTGGATGTGGGCAGTGGTGGTAGAGTTGGAAAGATGTACAAGATAAACCACAAAGCCCACCTAGAATGGGCCCTTTCTCTGTGCTGCCCTGGTGCCTGGCTTCCACCTCTATTTAGCACGTACATTGGGCCCTAAGACTACACTCACCCTGAGGATGATGCCCATTTCCTCTCTGTCATTCTGCCCGGACAGAAACCCTACATGGCAGGGCCTGAAAAGGTAACTTTTGTTTCGCCTGGATTGTGCTGTCATTTCAGTCCCAGGACCTCAGACCTGCGGGTGCACTGGAGCATTCGCTTATTACAGCACCGGGCCTGGTGTATAGGAAGTAGAAGGGGGACATTTGACAACAAAAGGAATTTAGCACACCAAATAATAATAACATAGCCAAAGTGCCTGGATAGAATGGCATAGAATTTTAAGACTCTGAGCTGAGAAAAACCAGTTGTGGCCCCATAAAAAAACCATAAATTCAATACCATGAGCCCCAGTAGCAGACTGGATTGCAGTTAGATAATGGTAAGCTCTCCAAAAGGGTTGTTCTCATTTTCAACACGCTGTCTGGCAAATAAATGAGAGTGACGAAGGAGACCACATCCAAAGGTGAGCCACATCTTGAGTTACGTGGACCATGGAGGATGGGAGCTCTTCTGAGATTTCCTGAGGAAAATGACAACTTAGCAGAGAGGAAAGTGCGTGTGCTCTGTAGGAGGGAGGCTGGTGAGAGGGGAAGAACAGAAGGGGCTGGAAAACTCAGCATCTAAAACTGTTCCTGGGCTCGAAAACTTGACTTGAACTGTCAAGCTTCACGGACAGTTCTTCTCTTGCCTTTCATTCCTTCCAAGCCTGCTGTGTGGCTGACGAGAACATCAGCTACTTTACAAAGGAGATTTCCAAGTGGGGGCCTGGCACTGCAAGACCTCGGTTTCAAGTCTGGCTTTGTCACTTGTTAGCTATACAGCTGGAGAGGAGTCTCTGAGACTCAGTTGTCCTCATCTACACAATGGAAATAGTAACAACGGCAATCTCTACCAACAGGGTCCCGGGGAGGACTAACAGACATAATGCACAGGCACAAAGTAAGACTGTCAGTAAAGGTGTGTTTGTTTTCTCCCCTTGAACTGAAATCAAGGCTATATACTGGGTCTGACACACATGGAAACCATGATGTAGACCAGCATATGCTGGAAAATGCAAAGTCCCAAAGCAGCTGGCTTTGACATTTCCTGGACATTTCCTGGATACAAGAAGAGGTACACCTGAAGACAGCTCTGAGTTGGCCTGGGCAAACGGTAAAGTACCGCGCTTCTCACCAAAAGCCATAAAACGGCCCCGAACTGCTCCTGAAGCTATGCTTTTGGCGCCAGAGAGGGATTAATTACTCATGGCTGATGCACAAAAACATAGCTATCTCTGCCTCCCGCTTGAGGGCTTGCCGCCTCACATCTGGTCCCACAGCACCGTGGTATTCACAACTAGGAGATGCCAGAAGATGAGCTCCTTAAGACGAAGTCACTGCAAGAAATTCTCGGAGCCACCACATCCAAGATGGGGTTTCAAGACACATGGGAGAGTTCTTCCAGGACAAATGAATTCCCACACCTACCCTGGCCCTTCCAGTCAGGTCTGGAGCCAGGACAGTGGCTCCAATTTAAAAGCTAACCAGCTGATTGGAATTCTAAATGTGGCCTAGTCAACGGCAAGTTGTTTCTTTTTCTTCCCCTTGCTCTTCTCAAGAAAAACACCTGAAGAGAGGTGGAGGAAAGTGCTTTTCAACTCACTTTGCTCAGACTGGGGCCACGCTTCTTCTCTGGATCTACTCTGCCAATTTCCAGATGTTGCCTAGGTCTGTTTGTGTGTGTGTGTTATTTTAATTGTCTGTTTTCAATAACCCTAGAGATTTATCAACATTCCAACTTGGAGGATGAATAGTCTACAGATTCAAGATTCATGGTCCTCACACCAATAATTACGTGTGTCTTACTGAAGAAGACTTTTGTCAATTTCCAAACTCAGAGTCTGTGGGGGCTGCCATCTGCCTCAGCAGCCTCTCTGCGGTGCCTGAAGAGCAAAGCACAGTGGTGATGTTTACTGCATGAATAAGTGGATGCAGGGACAATCTCTAAAAGAGGAAAGCAGCTATTACACACTAAAACACCTACCTACCACTGACTCCTTCTGACCACATCACTCCCCGCCTCCTAGGGCCCTTCCAGATGTAGGAGTATAATAGAATCATTAAGAGCATGCTTTCTCTTCTTCTAGCCAAGGGGAAGCTAAGGTTACAACCTACCTATAACCTCCTCAGGCCTATACTGTACTCTTGGGGAAAAATCTCCTAATCCCTTCCTTCAGGTAATTAAAAGCAAGCAAACAAATGAAATAAAACCTAATCCGCTACAAAGGTTTCCCTTTTCTACATACTTTCCTTCATTCTGTTCTTCTGGCCCCAGGCATGCCCAGGTGTTGTGGGGGGGGGGCGGTCTATACCACTGTGCCCCAGGGCTTGCCAGAGAGGTGGTCAGGACACAGTCTGTCCACAAGGGCCCCAGGTGCTCATAGGGTTCCAGTTCTTCTTTCACTCCTCAACTCTGGCAAACCTACTTTCCAGAGGCAACAGGAGGTGATGGAAAGGAACTTTTCATGAACCACAGCTCTAAGCTACTGCTAATTTGCCATGGGACCCCAGGAAAGTCACTTCTCTGTTTCAAGCCACAGTTTCCTTATTTGCCAAATTTAAATATGATACATGCTGAATTCATCTCTTAAGGAAAGCTAAGGAAGTTGGAAAAAATAGGAAAGGTCTCAAACTACAAAATGCTAGCAATGTCTCCTAACCCCTGGTCTTCTCTTCCAACCGGAGGGCAGGGTGGTTTACTGTCTCTGTCCACTCTGAGGTACACCCTCCTTACCAGCAACAGCTAAAAGGCTGCTCCCCAAAATGGAAGTGATACTTTCCTCATCCACTCATATCTGTACCCAAGCCTCCTAAAACTAGCTGGGAAAGAGGATCCACTGACTTTACAAAGGAAAAGGTGCCTCAGCACGGCAGAAAGAACCTGGTGAAGGAGGCTAGAGGGCTGGCTTCTAGTCCTACCACCAAGTGAGCCTCAGGATCCTCACCTGTCAGGTGGGGATGAGATCACCTGCCTTGCCTATTTCTCAGGGCCCTGGGAAAGCAGGAATGGGAGGTCTGGTCTTATCCTGACCTAGAAACTCTTTCCTGGCCCTCAGCTCTCACTCAGAGAGCCTTCTGGGAGATTCAGTAGGGGTGTGGGGTCTGAAGGATGCTAAAGTGCCACTACTGCTTTACCTCTGCCACCTAGCCAGGGAGGGGCAGGAGAGAGTGGCACCCAGTACCCAGTGATCGAGGCCTCTTCATCCTGTCCAATGATGGCCCGAATGAGACAAGGATGTCATAGCTTCCCTCTGTAAAGAGGGACTCCCACCTGGCAGGGTCTGACAATATCAAGCCTTGCCTCTCACTCCCAGGCGGTACTAAGGGCCTTAAAGGGAGAGACAGACAGCTAGAGAAACTTGAGGAGACAGAAGGCGCAGAGAGGAAAGGAACTGAGAGAGAGGTAAAGAGAAGGTGAGAGACAGAAAAATGAAGGTACAAACAGGCGGGGAGAGAACAGGAAAGTGAGGGAGCCGAGAAAAGACAAACAGAAAGAGTAGGAAAGACACAGCGATGAAGACAGACTGACAGCGCGGGAGGTGTCAGGGAGGCGGGGAAGACAAAGGGGACCATCTCGTATTTTTAACTGGTCTGGCCTTCTAGAGACACCCCGTCCCCTAAAGAAAAGCCTACGGGACAGGAGAAGGGGGCCGGAACAAGCAGCGGCTCCCCCCGGCCCCCTCCCCGGCTCCCGGTCCCCGCCCGGCCCCCGAGTCCCTCCCGGACCGCTCGCTCACCTGCCAGCGCCAAGATCTGGGCCTTGTGGAGCAGCAGCGCGCCCCAGTCGCGGGGGGCGCGCGGGGGGCTCTCGGGCCCGGCGCCCAGTTCTTCCGGGCCCCGGTACACGGCGTACACCTTCTGGTTGTCAAAATCCAGCCGCGAGCGGGGGCTGAAGTCGCGCACGCACGACACAGGCAGCGCGTAGCAGACGTTGTCCTCCAGGAACCGCACAAAGGCGTACATGGTGGGCGCCGGGGGCGGGCCCCGGTCGGCCGGTCAGCCCGCGGGGCGGGCGCGGAGGTGGGGAGCCGGCGGGGGGCGCGAGCCGCGCGGCCGGGCCGGGGGGCGGGGGCGGCTCCCGGGACCCGGGCTCCCCCCGCTGTTATTGTTCCTGAAAGCACCGCTCTGCCAATCGGCTGCTCTCGCCTGGGCGCGGAACCTGGAGGGAGGGGGGCGGGGGGCGGAGGAGGGGGTTTGGAAGCGCACCGCCACTCGCGAAGTCAGACCCGAGCAATCACAGCCGGAGCGCGATTCGCCGAGGGAGGGGAAAGGGCAGAGACGCTAAATCGCGATAATGATAATAACAATAGCCTTGCAGGAAAAAAATGCATTGACTAATATTCAAAGTCGCGCCGCGTGCAGGATTTGTGGCTTCAACGGTCGCGCTACAAAACAAACTGCATTGCAACAAAACTGCACTGCACAGGAGAGGAGAGTGTGAGAGAATAAATGCAGGGCAGGGGGCAATCTTGTTTGGATTCCTAAGTGTAAACTTGCACTTGCAAGACAGCAGAATTTTGGAGTGCATCAAATAATTGAAACCGCTCCTCTCAACCCCTTTAGTTCATTGTTTTTTTCTTCCTGGCAAAAACCGCCAGCTCCCCTGTGGGGAGGGTCAGTCAGCCAGAAATGTTCCCCCTGTGCTGCCAAACTAGTTCTGACCAGAAACTGGGGCTTATCTGGGATTTCCAGTTGGACCAGCTGGCTGGGGCAGTGGAGTGTTTGTCAAGGGCCCCTCTCAGCTGGAGGAAGCAGTGTAGCTTTTCTCCCCTGTAGTCTTCCCCCAGTGAAGCACCCCTCCACAGAATGCCTGTCACTGAACTGGGACCAGTTGGAATGAGCAGGGAGCGGAGGGGTGGTCGTGGTCGGAAGAAGGCAAACCCAGGGCTAGCTGGGCGTTTCTGGAGCACCTCGAGGAGTTCTGACTGGGCTATGTGTCATAGGAACCCCATCCTACATTAGAGGGGGTCAGCATCCTTGCACTGACGCCTCTGAGAGGGTGGGCTTTGTATCAGATATGACTACTTATATTCCTGGCACCTGATAGGGGCTCAGTGAATTTGGGGTGAAAAATAATAATAAATAAAAATCCACATTCAGTCACACCCATACTTTTATTCAAGCGACCAATATACACTGGGTATGCGCTACATGCCAGATTCTGGGCAAAAGGCTGGTGGTAGAGAGATGAACAGACAGCACAAACACCTGGATCTCTTGTGGTGTAAGACAGTGTGCCAGAACTTGAGTCTCAGTGTTGGATTCCTGTGCCCAAATTAGGTTACTATATGAATAACACACCTTCTCTGTCCTGGAAACCCTTACAATCTGGTCTGAAAGTATTAAAAAAGTGTAAGTAAGTAATTATGTTATGGTGAGAAAAGTGTTCTCATAGAGGAATGCTGAATTGAGGTGGCAGGCTGAATTAAATGTTATATTTTTTTAAAAATTCATTTTAATGAACTCAACCTGTAAGAAAAAGACAAAATAAATGTGCCAAAATGTTGTTTCTTAGTAGTGGTGGGCGATTTTATTTTCCTTTGTGTGTTTATATAACTATTTTCCACAATAAGCAGGGATTACTTTATAATCAGAAAGCATTACACGTTATTTTTTTTAAAAAGCGCTGGGCTCACATTTCATATCAGCTACACTAATGATTAAGTAGATAAACCAAAACCCTCCAGATTATTTCACTGTGATTTGGGGAGGGCCATCAACATGCAGCTCCCAGATCCAAACATACAGGTCAGATCTAGTTCCCTTCAACTTAGCCTCTGGCATATATGCAGTGACAGCCAGTTATGAACACATGTTGTCCTGATACAGATGTTGAACCTTTGTTGCCCCACATACTTGTGGACAAAAGAGGAGCCACACTGAATTGTTCCAGCAGGTTTATCTTCATGATTATGATTTCTTTGGACTGATCTTACATGAGTTTTTATTTTAAGAATACATTCCTACGGTGGTCAAGGGGAAGTAATGTGTAGCAAGACTTCTGATAATTCGCAAGATGAGTCGTGCAGAGTTGGCCATATTTAATGAAATACCATGAAGCTCCAAACTCTGTTTGCGAAATAATTTCAGGTAGCACCATGGCCAACCTCCTAGCCCATCTAAATGAGAGTGACCTCAAAATACATTACCAATCTCATCTCTACCACCTTCCTGCACACAGTACACTCCAGAAACATTACACTATTTGACATTTCCCGAGAGAGCATGTTTTATCAGGTCTCAAGCCTTTGTGCTTGGTTCTGCCCTCATCCTGGGAAGTTCTTCCTCCTGGAGTGCACAGTGACCTCAGCCTCCCCTGAAGGCCAGCTCAGATGTCACCTCCTCTCTGAAGCTTCCCCAACCAGCCGCTCTCCTCAAGCACAGGCAGTTTCTTTCTACTATTTTGTCCCAGCACCTTTTATCTTCCCTCATTAGAATGAGCTCTTTGAGGGGGGACAAAAAAGCCGTGTAACCTCAGCATCCCAGGATCCTAGCACAGGGCTGGGGAGAAAATGCTTATAAAACAAATGCAATAAAGAAAGACACAGCATGAATAACAAACCTCTTGCGTGGTTTTTCTGAACATTTGTCCCTTCTTTTCAGAGTTGGGGCTGAATCCCAGCTCTGTCTTTCCCATTCCTGGTGATCAAAGTGCAGATCACTGAGTCTACTTCTTGTGAGACAGACACATCCATGAACATATTAAGTATCACTGCACCCTCAGGTTCAAACAAATTCTCCATCCAAGTCAGTGTAAATCGTTCTCATAAGGGGGCAGTTCCATTTTCCAAGAACCCAGAAAGAAGAAAAGAACAAATAATGACATGGATGCCAACAGAGTAAACACGGACTCAATTCACCTTGCATGTAGGTGCACAGAATGGATTCTAGAGAAGCAATGGCATGTACAAGATACTCAAAGAGACACACTTCAGCAGCCTAAGGGCAACAGAAAGACACCCAGAGTTCCTGCTTTCTGTGTGTGTCACACAGTCAGTCTTTTAACACAGCTTCTAGAGAACCTACTAAGTGTGCCTCCTCTGTCCTAGTGAAAACCGGAGTCAAAGTACCTCTTTGATCCAGAGACTGTTGCTCCAGGCTTTACACATACCAGAAACTAAAGCTGTTGATGGATGATTCATTGATTGGCACACAAAGACAGTTCAAAAGTACAGATTTCATACTTAAAGAGGTGGCTAAAGATGTCAAGTTCAACCAGATCACAGTTGAACCCCCTCTTCAATATTCCTGCCAAGTGTTCATCCAGATGCTTCTTATATAGTTCTAATGTTAGGAAGTTTACCAGCACGCCTTATCTTTGGGACACTACTGACTGTTAGAAAGGTCTTTCATACCTACACTGAGGAAGAAGCTTTCACCTTGTAGCTGTCATACTAGGTTCACCACCAAGAGTCTCATGCCAGCCCATCAGATATGGAAGAACTGGGGATCCTATCTCATTAGGATCTTGTTTATCTTCTGCCCAGACATCTTCACTTCCTTCACCTATCTCTCCTCATATGACCTGGTTTCAGTGATGATCATTGTGATATCTACTTTTCCTTCAAAGTTTACTTACAAACCAAGCATGCCAGGCAACAAATATATATGATTTCAATTAATTTCACACTGAACCCTTGAAGTGGGTATTATAAACCCCATGATAGAGTTAAGAAAATTAACAAAGCAGTCTGGCTCTGGGGAATCCTGGAAGGCCTGTGGTCATATTTGCATTTTAGACATTTTAGACTAGAAGCAGTGTGGGGTAAGGATTGGGGGGAAGCAAGACTGGGGTGTGGGAGGCCTGTGATGAGGTTGACTGTCCTCTCCCTGCCCCTCCCCTAACTCCCTCTTTCTACCAGCCAGATGTACTTTGCCTCTTGTCCAAGTCATTTTAATGGAGCAGAAAATGTACACATATGGGGCAGGTTTGCAACTGTGTCTGCATTGCACTTTCCTGTTGAGTTTTGCAGAGCCTTGGGTTAATGTCAAGCTCCTTCAGCTTAGCCAGCTGAAGCATGATCAGGGGCAGCAGGGGGACTTATGTTTCATATTACTGCATGGAATTCTCAGTGTACTTTGTAAAACTATTTTAAGGAGACCTGGTTTCTGTGAGTTTTTAAAGCAACTGGAGCGTGTCTTTTCAACCTCTCTGCTAATGATTGACCACATTTTTTCATGATTTTGCCTTTTTTCCCTGTGATATTTAATTTGACTTTTTAAGTATTTGCTTTTTAAATTTTTTATTTTTTATTTTTATTCTGCCCAGAAAAGCAACTTGCTGTGCTATGAGCTCAGGGCTATTGTCTTCTCAGGCTGATTCAAGGAAGGAATGTTGATACATGGCCAGGAGGATCTGGGACTGTTGGGAGGCCCATGCTGGGCATTACCCTGAACTGCTATCACCCAAAGGCAGTGGCATCAACCCAGTATATCTGTGTGAACTCCTGATAATGAAATCTGGTTGACTCTGGTGGTGGGGTTTTGGGCAGGGGAGGAGAGGGCAGGAGACAGGGGGAAGGAAGAGAGGAGTTGCTCATTGAGTACAACCTCAAAGCCCAGTGAACACTGCCTGGAGTTAGAGGGAATGCCAACTTGTCATGTAGGCAACCACCTGGAGGGCCAAAGGAATATGGGCTTTGGAATCAGGCCAAGGATTAAATCCTGACTTTGCCACATTTTTGCTGTAACTTTGGGCAAGACACTTTGCCTCCCTGAGACTCAGTTTGCTTACACATAAAATGAGGCTAATGATATGTATCTTCTGAATGTATTATGAGATTTGGGGCAGGAGTTTTTACCCTCTCTGTGTATCAGAACCACCTGGGGAACTCAAAAAAATATCCCACTCCCAGGTCCTATCCCCTAAGATCCTGATTCAATTCGTCTGGGGACGGGACCTGGGAAATGATTTTGTTTTTTAATTCCCAGATTATTCTAACATCAGACCAGTTGAGCACCTCTGAGTTGGAAGATTTTAAGGTAACATGGCAGTCACATAAGAATTGCTCAACCGGGGCTTCC